GATGTGCAAATTTCCATTATCGAGTATTTAAATTACTTACAAAAACAATGAAACGCCCCGGAAACTCCTCACATCCATTAATACACTCAGCAGCGCTCTCACAGCATGGCAGGATTCAGTCACACCACTAGTGGGCCTACGTGATCACATGGCGGATCACATGACCTCTCGCTAGCATCCTCCTGCAACAGTTTAGCAGCCTGATGGTAGAGAAAAATACAACACCCCAGTCCCTGAAGCTACCGGTACTTCAGATGATTTAGTGCCGAGCGTGGGTCCCATGGGCTTCAGCGTTCAGAGCGCCAAGCGCCTTCAGCGGTAAAAAATGTCAGCGGAGACGGGTTATTTTTAGCGCAGCGCTCAGAGTGCTTCAGTTGAAATCTGTTCAACTTTAACACCGCTGGGCGCTCGGAAAATGAGTTTTGAGCGCTCTCAGCGCTGTAAATGCGTTTGGTGGACACAAGTCCAGCTCAGACAATTCTAATCACATTTTAAAGGATATCGACTGATTATCGTTATCGCCAAAATCCCAAAAATATTGAGATATTATTTTGCCCATATCGCCCACCCCTACCGGAAGAGCAAAACAGAAGACAGAGTGTGAAAACAGAGGAGAAGGTGGTGAGGACATTAAGAGAAAGAGGTTGAAACAGAAGGAGAGACAAAAAATAAAGCTGAGGACAGACAGAGGAGTAAACACAATCCATCACTGCTGCATTGCCTCGATTCCCAGACCAACACCTCCTCCTCCTGAATGCTGATCTCCAACTCTTTACTTTTTCTCTGCATCACTTTCTGTTCTTTCCTCCCTGTTCATCTGTTCCTCAGCCTGTGTTTCTGTCCAATTTGCTGTGTGTATTTCCCTCTGTGTCTCTCTCTTACAGCAGCTTTCTTCTAGAGGCGTCTGGAAATGTGTGCATCAACTTCTTACTTGCATTCTTGAAACTCATTTGCTGATGCATAGCCTCCATTTTCTGACAGATCTTACAAAGAGCATAAAGAGCCTGCCTCAGTTACTTCACTGATTAAAATTACCTAGACTGGTCCTATATTCCTTGCACTTCAATATTACATAACTATACTGGAGCAATTCTCTCTTGGGGTGGGAGGAGTGATTCCATTTTTTTAAATTCCATTTTGATGGCAATTAAGCACAGAGAGAGCACAGAAATATGAATAAAGAGGCCAATGGTGTAGTTGGCAGATGATGTCTAACTCAGGGAAGAGTAGCCAGCATGGGTCACTCCAAATCACTCAAAGTGACAGACACCATCTCCAGCACAACGAATCCAGAGTCTTTCCTGTAATCTTTGCATTTTGGCTACCAGCATAAAGCTGCAGCATGTGCTTCTCATGGTATTACACCATCAGGTCCTCTCTGGTCCTCTCTGGTCCTGCCAGGTCCAGTCTAATATCTGTGGTGGTCTACAGAGTGCCATGAGACCTGGAGGACAAGTTTGGTCTGCCATGGCTCACATTTCCATGTACAAGTTTGGCAGTGTAGCATTTCGTGTTAGCGCTAAACAAATATTTGACAGATTTTTTTTTAACAATGAGGGAAAATCTGAAGGCCATTCGTCATTTCAATACATTAACACTGAGGGCAATCTACCATAACGTTTAGTAATTCACATGCATCACTGTCATTAACTCCATGTAGACCACCTGTAGTAGACCCCACGTCCAGCTGCTGATGAGTGTGCATATTGATTAGCTAGAGTCTTGTCTTTGACCTCACCTGCATGACCTTGTTGTCCAGCTGGCTTTGCCCATTGCATTGGTAGGTTATATCTCTACATAACCTAGCTATCGTAAAGTGTCACGGCAGCCGAGTGTCCGATGTTTCTCTAGAAGGCCAATAATTGTGATGTGGTTGCTGAACGAGGTGAAAAAAGAAGGACTGATGCAGTGAAGGGATGAAGGACAAGCAAGTAATACTGATAATGTTTATCAGCCAGAAGCAGCTAATGTTACAGGGGAAGCAAGTGGCAGCAAGAAGGCAAAAATCATTCATCTGCTTTGTGTGGTGTTGACATGAAAAGTGGCCGCACGGTCATTGTCTCTGTTCATCTTTTCTCTCCATGCTCTTATAAAAGCATCAATCTGCAAGTTCTGTATATGCTTCAGCCCTGATCCCAGTTCACATATTAGTCAGCAAAACAAAAACACATGATCTACATGCCGTGAATACTCCCTGAAAATTGTGGACGAGAGGAGAAAATAAAAGTTCAGGTTTGACAGCTACAGAATCTAGCTGTGGTAGGTGATTGTGAATTCAACAGTCAACAGTTTGGACTGAGAGTTACAAATATATAAAGTGACTCCATTAGTCTTTGCATCCATGTGGCTGTTTCTTTCTGTCTCTCAAGCTTATGTTTTTTTTTGTTCTCTTGAGTTTACTTCCATTTTTCACTCACTCCTCCCACCCTACTTTTATACATGTTTAATTTAGTTTTTGTATCTCTCATTCTTTCTTCCTTTCTACCTTGTTTCACTTCTCTCTACTGTGTTTATGTCCCTTTCATGCTGTCTGTCTCATATCCTTCGCTGTTTCCTTTCCTCTTTCAGTCTTCTTAACCACTAATGTCTTCATTCAGTCCTGCTTCTTCTCTTTTTTTTGTCTTTCTGTAACTCCCTCTCCTCTCCTTTCTTTCCTCCAACCAACCCATGCCTCACCCTCTGTTTCCTCTCAGTTCCTCCCTCCCTCCCTCCCTCAAGCTTTATCTCCAACGACATGCTGACATCCAGCTGGGAAAGATGCTGATAAATTCTGAAAACTTCACCCTCAACCTCCAGTTCACCCTGTCGTCAAATCACTCACTTCCTCACCCAAATTCTCCCACATGAGCTCCCATTCCCTTTTTTTTTTAATTTAAACTTCTATCAATGCAGGGAGGGGGCACTGCTTTTTTATTCAAGCAGTTACACACAATTTCCCTCACGGAGCTGCCCAGTAACAACCATTTATTCTGCTGCTGGTTGACAGGAGCAGTTGAGGGGTTAAGTGCCTTGCTCAAGGACATGTCCGATGAGAGTGAGGAATGAGTCTCACTTGCTTTTCTCCTCCCTCGGCCATTCATCATCCTCATTCTCCACTCCCATCTCTTTATCTGTAACCCTCACCTTCACACACCCTCCGTTCATCCTCACTGTCCCGTCGCAGTTGTTCCTCCACCCTCTCCTCTGTTCCCTCCATCACTGTCTCTCCTTTGAGCCCTCCCATGCTCCATCTCCCTCCTTTCCCACCGCCCACTGCTTCTATTATCGCTCGAGTGGGCTCTGATGAATGACTGAGTTTGATTTGGGGGGAGGAGGTGGAATCGAGCAAAGGGAATGGGAGGGAAAGAGTGGAGAATAAGAGTGACGTTAAGTTTTGCTTGGAAGGTCCTTTAGTTTATGTGTGATTTAACAAAATCCCTGTTCATCAGTTTTAAAAAGCCCACCTTCAACCTTTGTATCACTCACTGTGGTCGGGCAAAGATTAATGGGCATTTTCAATGATAGGGGCGTTATTTGTGGGAGTAAGCCAAACTTTCATAAGCGATTAGATCAAATTTAAAGATTTAATTTGCCATGTGCTCGTGGTGAATGCTTTTTTTCTAATTTATAGACATTTTATTTTCATTTGAACACTCAACATTATTACTGATGTTTTTCTTTTCAATACAGCTTTCAAATGAAAAAAGATATTATCCGCTGCCCTGCTCAGTTAGTGTCAGTTCGGCACAACATTGCATGGTTTCAGTATTTTACATGTATAATATGGAACATTTCCGCATTAAAATGCCTTAAAATGACTAGACCTGTGTCATATATTTTGTTCATTTAAAATGTTTCCAACTATGTTCAAACCTAGAAAATCCTTAATTATATTCTGGTAACAGTACAACAGGTAATTAGGGGTGGTCCTACATGATTTCCTGATTTATTTGGAATAAGGGGAGAAGGGGGAATCTGCATCTTTCCAGTCATTTCAAAAACCTCAGCCTGTCACCATGGCTGAAGGCTCGGCTTCCCCGTTACATCACCAAATAAACAACAGGAAGATGAGGAGCCTATCTGTGATGCAATAAATATATGTTTTCTTAACATAATGTGAAGTAAAGGGATTCCAGTATGTTTAAGTGACATTTTAAAAGTATGAAGTACATTTTCATGATTATTGTGATGATATTGTGTATTGCAAATGTTTTGGCCCATTCCTACAGGTAACAGTTTCTTTCTTGTGTCTGTTGCTATAACTTCCAAGTAACATGTGGTGTGCTGAGTAAGAGGATGTCGGCAATCGTGACAAAACATTATTTGAATAACTTCTACTTCAAACAGAATTTCTGCCTGAGTCATGTCAGATAGATTTTCACTGGCAATTGTGGCTGTTTTAACAGTGAAGACAACTCTCATGATCCAATATTACTCCATGACATCATCAGACTTTGCCTTTTCTTATTGTGCTGATGTGAAAAAGAACAGAAACAAAGGATGAAATGGGTCATGCTTCATATAGCTGATACTGAAAATCAAGGAATGTCTGACTACAAACAGTAGGTTTCCTTAGCAACCTGCTGGCCAGCACTTGCAAAAGAACACATAACATTAAAATAAAGAGAACACTGGATGTGGGCGTTGTACACATATTTAATGAATTTTGGCTCAGCATGAAAGCAGGATTGGATAGGATGGACAGAGAGAGAAGAGTAGAACAGAAAAGAAGAGATGCATGGCTGGATTCAACTTATACCAGCTCCTTAACAAGGAACCAAAACCTGCCCGCTGGCCTTAATAGGAACAGAGAGAGGGAGGGAGAAAAGGCTCCTTGCTATCTCTTCTTCCTGCTACTGCTACTGTTCAAGTGATAAAAGCCGAGATCAATCCTTAACCCTCTGCATCACTCTGTGTGCTCTTAAGCTGACCCCTTGTGCCTCCTCTGTGCTCTTCCGGACAAACAACTGAGGTTCATCACTCACAATATCACATACACATACACAGATATGAGCACTTACTTCCTGTCCAGAGAGGTAGTAGGCGGCCAGCAGTCCTCCAATGAAACGAATGTTGACCTCAAACACGGACACCTCTGCATTCTGGAAAACAAGAGAGCACAGAAAAAACCCACATCAGACAGGATCACCCCATTTACATCTACATTATTTATGCTTTTAAATGGACATTCTGTTGGTTTGGTGCCATTCTCTTTCTTGGGCAGTTTTAATCTCAACTGAGTATTTCCTCATGGGCTCCTCTGGGGTTTCTGTACTAAATGTATTGCAAATTTTAAGCAAATTTTAAGCAGATTTTAAGCAAATTGTGAGCAATTTGGAATCTTATAAAATAAGCATTTCAGGGAGAAGATCAGAGGGGTTATTTCCCTCAGTGGTATGTATTTAAAGCTTCTGACCCTGGTACTGCCCAGTGGTGGTATAAAACAAGTCACTATGGCAGACTGCAACACATGGCTTTTTAACCAGACTTTATTCCTGATACACACAGGTAGCATGACCTCCATCACTGCGCAGCTGAAAATGCCAAGCAGAAGATTGTGATTGTGAATGCTCTGACTCTCCTATTTGAAGGGGATTTATAAATCGAATCCTGGATCAGACAGCAACAATTGAAAGCAAAAACTGAAACTGAAATAATCCTTGTGTCACTGCTGGTGATCAACAATTCTGTAACCTGCTTACAGATATCACAGTATCACAAAATGTGCGATACTGGAGAGCCTTAAAAGTTGCCTTCAGAAAATTGGTTTAACTAAAGCCAGACATTTAGTTCACTACAAGTGGAAAAACACAGCACACAAAGTTCATGCATATTTCTTCCACCAATAAAGCCTTCAGGTGTTACCCTGGCTATTCATTTGTAGCTAAAATTGTGGTGCTAAATCTCAACTGTTCTTTCCACTCTAATGTACCCCAAAGAATAATCACCCTCCAGCTACTCTTGCCACTGTCTCAGGGACCACAGCCGTCTCAGTGGCCTTGGGTGAGCATGTGTACCTTAAGCATGTTAAGACAACTCAGTGCAAAAACACTTAAGACTACCACCATGAAGTAATTCATGTCAAATTAGTATAATTCTCTGTGACTGACATGTTCCTGGGTGCCATGGCAACCTTGATGCAGTAAGACTATTCATCTTGCAGCCCGGTACATTCAAATGCTGAGAGCTACTTGCAAATTACATTGTGACCTTGCACTGATATTTTCACAGAAGAAATGAAAACATACAAGATATTAGGACTTTACCTGCGCATCTCTCTAAAGGGCGGTCTGAATGACCTCAATTTACAGTAAATGTGCTCCAAAAGGGATGGAGAGAGAGAGACAACTAGAGGAGGTGAACAGAAACATGGTCTGAATTTTAAAACTCAGGCTCTTACGTGTAGAATAGTCTAGTAGGTTGAAAAACACGATCATGACTGCGTCTCACACACTGATCACTGCACTCTTCTGTTACTGGAGGTAACTGGGGTCTTGGGAGCAGCTGTCGACAGACAACATTCATAATCTGTTTCGATGCTCAACCGTAACACCCTCCAGTTTCGGGTCAGCAGTGGCGGCCAAATCACTGTCCATTTGCCCTCGATTTCCAGCTATTCTCCACTAACCTACTCCTAATTTATCCCATGGATTCTCTCTGTTTCTTGCACTTTGTCAGTTTCTAGAGCTGTCATGAATTCATATTGCTGCTGGGAAGCCTTTGCAATGGACCTATATGGGGAACTGCCAGTCTTCTTGGCTTCCCTCCTCCCACAGGACAATAGAGTCATTTCCACCACAATGTTTTCTTATCTACTGGGGACCACAGCATTATGTCTGCGGTATGGATCATGAATGAAAATTGGAGCTTCCTTACAACATTGATCTTTTATCTTATAATCTTTGAGCCATTTGTAGTAGAATTATGGATATTGGCCTCTTGGATGTAATCGGTCTGACTCTCTCTTGAAACAAAGGGGACCACTCTACTTGCAAAATGGTCACTTTTTCTGCCGTTGATTCTGGCGTCAGCAAAAGAAAAGGAGAGTGTAGAGTCACCTACAATCGACCTTGAGTTAAAATGGTTTTGCACGCTATCAGAATGTGTGACAATGTCCCAGTGTCACTTGCAGCTGGGTCCTCTTGCAAATCCCATGTGTGCAGTCGTGCTGGCAACAAGAGAGTAATGAATACTGACTGTAAATGGTATGAGGTGACAAATGGCTCTCATCTCCACAGCTCCAACTACATTATTTTTTTCTTTAGCATGTACCACTTAGTCCAAGAGCCCGTGCTTAACCCGCTCTTGCTTTTTTCCCCTCAAGGTTTACCCATGTTTTTATCATCTATCCTTTGTTTTGCATACTTCTTGCATTTGCTATATGGTCAATACAAATGAATACATATGCATTTAACCTGTATATATCTTAAGGAGTTCTCTCTTGAAGTTGAAGCTAATTAGCATATGTACCATTAAACAATTGTGTAATTGTCTCAATAATGGACCCTGTACAAAAATTTCACACTACATTATAGAGGGAAAATTATAACATAATTATCAATAATCATTGAACAGCTATGTTAAACTCATTACAGAAAGATATTTAGGACCAGACTTTTGAAATGATGCATGTAGCAGCACAACCAGCACTTTTTAACCACCACTCATCATTTCAAAATTGGTCTGAAGGCCTTTACACACTAGGGGCGTTATTTTCGGACGACAATATATTTTTTGAACTTTGCTTGAATACTTACAGAACGCGAATATTACGTAACTAGAAAGCAACTACATTATTTTCGGACGAACCTCTATTGAACAAGCCATCATGTCACAGACAATTCCTTTTCTCATCTAATGATGTTAACAACTTGGTTGTTGTTGGGGGTCTTTTTGAAACGCACAATTAATCAGGAAGCAACAGGGGCTGCTAGTCATGGGGTAGCCGCAGCACTGAGTGGATGTTGTGTTGAACAGAGTGATGAAGGGATGGGAAGCTTTTATAAAGCTCAAGGCTAGCTTTGTTTGGCAGCATCCATCTATCTTACTCCCCATCTATCAGTCAGCCTCACTTGTTAGCCATTTACAACTGTAGTGTAAGAGCCCAGACCCCAATGAGCAGAAGGGCTATAACACAGCCCTGATTTGAGAATGCCTGCAGTGAACACAGATAGGACAGCGAGGAATCACGTAGGTTGTTCAATGACGCACGAGAGTGGCACAAGACTAGAAGTTTTGATTTAAATGAATTGTTTTTGTTCTGAAACTATAAAATAGGACAGCAGAGTCATTTCCTTCTCTGATCTTCTAGCATTAGATAGCTCTTAAAGACATATTGTACTCGCTCTCCCCTGTGAATTACATCTACTTTCCAACCTTTTATACTTTCTCTATTAATATCCCCCACGCACCAGTATAAACAGAAATCTGTCAACCCCTCTTACAAGCCATTTCACTTTGTGCAGTTTCCTGTCACAGATAATCACTGTTGTTTATTTTAATTGGATCCTGTCACTTTTGTAAAAGTGCCTCTTCTTGGGGTCCACACTCTGGGACCACAAGAATATTTTGGTTAACATATATTTGTGGCTCTGTCTTGCTCTCCTTACTACTAGTTACTCATTTTGCTGATCTCTCAATTGAAGCTTATCCTCTTAAGAGTTGGAGCATGCATTTAGTATACGAGGAATTAGTCAGATGCCAAAAATGTAACCAGCTGAAATTTTGCAAATCAATAAATCATTTTGGGTCATTTTTAAAGAATACATGCAGAATGTCGGAATGTTGTTCTACCTTTTCTCAATTGTTTATATTTGCTTTGATAGTTGTATATGAAGGTAAACTGAAAATCGTTGCATTTTAGACAGAACATACAGAACAAGCCGCACATAGTGAGTGTACCATGAACACATGGTACATTTCTTTTACCTTAAATAAGTGAAAGGCGCCACATGCATATAACATGATTTCTTTTTCATTTACAGTATGTAGTGTGTATCTGTGAGCGCAAGTATGTAGCCCAACACATGGTTTGGCACATACCTTTCACTAGAGCATTAAGAAATGTGATGACAGTCTTTGAAGTTTGAAGGCAAACAATAGAAATACATGTCATCCAGGCGACTCAGCTAAAATATTAAATTCTGACAAGAGAGGAAGCCAGAGCTGGGGAAGTCACTGTCAAATGTCTCTCACCTTCAGCAAAAGGCTAAGGGGGACGGGGAAAAGATGGGAGAGGGGGCGTCTAATAAGGACATGACAGCTTTCACCATGGAGGACCTTGAAAGCTCTGCATTGTCATGAAAAATAAGCAGCAGAATGTAACTTATGGGGCAATATTTTTGCCTCTCCAATAGACTGTGGTAGATATGTGCATCTCTTCATGTCTAAAAAAACAGTGTCACATTTAACACTTAAGTGCTGACGTTTTCACCATGTAAAATGCAATAAAAAGAATTGGAACCCTTGCTCCTCTATAATTAAATCTGGTTAATCAGACTGGGCTGAAACGTACTCTTTGACAGCTAGCATTAATTTATCTCTCCATCTCTGCCGTGTCGTCTCTGATCAAATCCTCAATTTAACCAGGGTTATTAATGCGTCAGTTAACGGAGTCCATTAATTTGGTGGATCTTTGAGCCTGCCGATGGATGCAGACCTCACGCCGACACATCCATCATCTGAGGGCAAGCTGCAGTGCGGGGGCCCCACCAGGACACTGGAGACTCCAACAATGACTCACTGCTTGGCTCAACCTGACATGGCAGCTATTTAATCATTCATTAGTGGCAGAGCTGGTCGTGGCAGGTGGGTGGCTGAATTGAGAAGGGGTGGAGGGACGGTGTGATACACACACTAAAAATGTGCATACATTTGTTAAAAGCATATGAGGGCTATAAATGTATGATTTAAAGAAAGGACTATTTGACACGCACATAATACTAGATGATGTGCACTTTTTTGCACTTTTGTGAGATCGAGTTAAGTGTAATCATGTGCACAAGCACACACACAGAGACACAAACTTAGAGGATCATATAGCTTTTCACTGTACTGCACTGTACGGAAGACCTGATCATCTTTCTTGTCCCACCAGTCTTTGTCGGAGAAATGTTGATGTGTTCACAGACTTTAGCAATTGAGGTGAGTAAAATATGATGATAGGCTGATGGCCAAAGCTATGATAACAGCTAAAAAGATAAAAATGGCTCATTCTAAGGTAACGAAAATACAACAATTCTTATTTTCAGGTGATTATACTCTGATGAAAACATACCTATGAGTATTAATCCAATAGATGATCCTAGATGTTACACACTGGACCTTTAAGACATAAATTGATAAAGCGAAAAAGGGCAAACACGTCCTTACAATAAAAGGTCAAACTGGCTCTAACAGAAATGACACACACACACACACACACACACACACACACACACACACACACACACAACACACACACAAAGCAGTTAAGCTGAGGAAATGCACAGGTGAGAGATTAAACTCGACTAAGAGTGATGTCTTTAATCTCTAAAATGGAAATTCAGACTGTGCCCTTACTCCTGCCTCAGAGCTCTGACTAGAGAGGCTAGGTATGGCTGCACCTTAGGTTGAACAAATCTTTGATTTTCACAAGGGCCAAGCTTAATAACACTTTTGCAGCCAATTATGCTGCCAGGCCACTGCAGGCTTGAAAAGTATTGCTCCCTATGAGCCGAGGAATTACCTGTTTTGTAAAAGCCTGAGCAGAAGCCAGAGTAATGCCATGGCCATATTGCTAAGATTCGGTATGAGCTAGCTTAACCTTTCAAAAATGTTACAGTAGCTGGAAGCTAATGCCTGAATCATTTGCCTAATGCATGCAGGTATAAGAGCATCAAACTAAGCCGTTAATGAAAACATGGCAACACACCTCCCTCCTCCTCTCGCTCGTTAACAGGAGCTTCAAGTCGCATCCTCTCTTGTCTTCGCCTCCCTGTCTTCTCTCCATTCCCCTCCTGTGTAACCAAAGGGCTTCTCCTCTGCTCTCCTGCCTCTGATTCTTATTACTCAATTCAAACACGTGCAATTTTTTTTCATTGTCTCATATTCCTGTCACTGTTATTGCATTTGTTAGACATATTCCTGCAGGTATTTTGGATAACACTGTGCACGTTTTCCCTTGAACACTTCTATTTAATGAATTCAAATGGTGCCACTGTCAGGTGAATGTGTTAATTTCCATAAATATCATCCCCTAATGCACTTTATCTGATTAAAATTTTACCCTCTATTGTGCTCTATCTCACCAATAAATATGACCTCAATGCCAAAATATATAATTGGTGTCAAAAACAAACATTATAAGCATCATAAAAGTAGACTTGCTGTTGAAATAGATTATATTACATTGTACATCTGTACCTAATAAAGTGGCTTAGTTTGCTTTGCCACTTGGAATTTTATATTGTGGCTCCAGATCTGCCATTATTTTGAAAACTTTCTCTAGAAATGATAGTTCTGGTGAGGGTTCTGAGGATGTGTGTAGGGACGAAGTGTAGCGAAAAGTCAGACCCTTGTACAGCTGACACCGTTCCACTTGTTTCTGGTGCCTCCAATGCCTCACTTGGTTGGGTGGCAAGCTAGCAGGTGAGTCCTCCTAGTCTGTAGTGACTGGGGCTGGGTATTGTTAAGAACCTCACGATACGATTCGATTTTGATTCTTTAGGTCACAATTCGATATCAATTCGATTCGATATTGATTTAAATGCTTCGATATCGATTCAGTAATAAGTAGAATTACAAAAATAATTCATTAGAGTAACTGTTGATAATTTTAAAATAATTGCCGACTTCAACGACTCCAAAACCGCTGTCTTTACCTCTGTGTACAGCTTCAGGACGGCGACATCCACCATGTGTTTGCGTGTCGGTATGGCGTATCGTGGTTCGAGTGTGTAGACCATCTTCTTAAAACCCACGTTTTCCACGACACTATACAGTCGTAGGTCCTTATATATGAAGACAGCCACAGACTCCGTTATCTTCTGTGCGCGGGCAGAGTTTGGCGGCAGTTTGCAAAGGAAGGGTCTGTCGAGTTGCGTCTGTTTTGAATCCACAGGTTTAGCCGCGGGTTGCTGCAGAACATCTGCATGGTGTCGGCTTAAGTGGTTGCGCAAATTTGTTGTGTTATTGCAGTATTTTAGTACAGCCTGGCACAGCTTACACACTACCTTTTGTGTATTTCCTGTGTTCCGGGTTTACACTGGAATATAAAATGAGTCTAAACGTCTGCTTTTAAAGTTGAAGGCGCTGGTTTAACACTGCTGCTACCTGCTTAGGTTGCCATGTTGTTGTTGTGTGGTTGAGTGCGGCCTCCGTCCACACAACACAAATCACACAAAGGTGTTGCTCACCGCACCCCCACTGGCCAGGGGCTTGAATTAATTCAGAGGATTTAATGAATCGATATTGAATTGGGAAAAAATATATTGCAATGCATTGATGAATCGATATTTTTACCCACCCCTAGTAGTGACCCCTCTCCCTTTCTTTCACCTATCCCTTTCCCAAATTGTCTTTTGGGCATCCACAGCTTATTTGTACACCCCTCAATCTTTCTTCACTGCTGATCTCCATCTCTTTCGTGGTCTATCCATCAAAACTCCTACCTCCTCAGTCCGACTTATCTTCACTAGGATTCCTCTTTCTTGCTTTGCCCCCCTCTCTCTTCATCCCTGATGCCTCTTCATCCTTCTCTACCCTCCATCTCTCCAGACCAAATTTCTCCCTCGTCCTCAATCTAAGCCTCCCCCCCCGTTCTCCATCACCAGTTCCTCTCAGTATCCCTCTTCCACTGCCACCACAGTGATTCGAGGTAATAGCCCTCAAGTGTCAGACGTGATCCCCTCGCCACCCAGCTGCCCGTGATTCCCAGTAGGGGACAACAAGCGGCAGACATGGCAGAAAGTTAAAAAAAAGAGGAGGGAGAGGAGAGAAGGCATGCACGAAAATGATTTGGGGGCAGATCTGAAAAACAGAAAAAGGAGGAACAGCTCCAAGGGGAAAGCAGAGAGAAGAGAAAAAAACAAGAGGAATGCAAATAAAGGATAATGAGATATGTAAGACAGAGGAGGTAGTAGAGCTAACAGTGGACATACATGAGAAGAAGCTGGTTAGGTGTGAGTAAGGTAACCACAATGTGGATTTTTTTCCCAGCAGATAACCAATAATTATCTGTTTGTCATGGCCGACATTTTTGTATTTTAAAAATAAATTCATGACCTGTACCATATGCAAACCTGAGGGTAAGATGGATGATTTCAGATTCCATAGCGCTGACCTAACCAACTTAAAGTGACATCACTATACAACAAAAACAGCTCTGAGACTTCAAATCTTCAGCACCAACATACTTTGGATTTCACAGGCCATGAGCCTATCAAACGTTTTGCATAATAATTACAACTAAATTATTGTCAGTAATTTATCAGCTATAATTGAATTATCAGAATAATGCATAATAATGTACATTTCCCATTATCAGACGATAATTTATCGGCCCCGATAATTATGGTGCATCCGTAGTGCTAGACATGGCAGATGAGGGATAGAGGGACAGATAATAATTGACTGCAATGAAAGAGGGGAAACTGAAGACAATAAACAGCTGACTACAAAGAGGTTGTAAAGAAAACGGAGAGAAAGGGTGACAAAGACAAAACAGGAAAGACAAAAAATGAACAATAAAAAGGTAAGGTAGGATGAAGACGGGTCGTAAGAATATGCAGGGATCACAGTTAAAAAAATAACACAAAGGAAAAGAGGGTGGACAGAAGTGACTGACAGGTGAAAGAAAGGAGAAGGAAGCTTGTAATGGGAGAGAACGAGAGAAGGAAAAGAGGAGGCTGTTAACAGAGGAGTGTGAGAGGAGAGAGAGCATGCTGTGTGGCATGTTCAAAACAATGTCAAGAAAACTGTATCAACTGAATTTAAATTGCATAAACCGTTAGTTTCTTTTGCATGATTATTTCTCTCCCATTGAATACTCAGTGCTGATTTTCCAGTCATCAGAGAAGGTACACTATAAAAGTGAGTGGCCAAATTAAGCATTTGGCTATTGACCTTGATGAGAAAATGTATTTTTTATGATTCCTGAGGTCGTTCTCCTGAGTGTGTTTTCTCACCAAGAGCAGGTAATCTAACTGTGCAAGCATTCTATCTTTAATTGAGGTTCAAGTAGCCACTCAAGTGAGATTTATTCAAACGTGAGTCTCTGCCCTCTTCCAAAGTCTAGTGAAGTTTGGCCAGAGTAGAGAGATACAGCATTTGGACCATCAGCAGAACCTCAAATTTAAAGAATTCCTGAGCACTACTCTTCCATACATGTTAATGTGTATAAAAGGAAAGTGGGTACACACCACACCGAAGTCCAGATTCTGTTCGACCCACTCCTGGCCGTCCTTGAACTCCTCGTGCAGACCCATGATGTAGAGCGTGTCTAAGGCATCCACAATGGTTGCCCCTAGTTGGGAATTTCCTGCAACAAGACACATTGTAAAACAAATAAGAATATTAGATTCATTTGTCCGGTCACGCACTAACCAATTTGTTTCATCTAAACCTCTGAACCTCTGGGAATTATGAGTGGAAAACTAATCACAAAACACAATGGGCCTAATTTGTCAAGGAGAAAGTAAGACATTTGATGCATTGAAAAATAAGAAATTACTCAGATGAATCTTAATATATGCAATTAAAACTTGGAATTAGATGCACGTCCATCAGAAACACACCAATGCACAGAAGCGACTCCATTTGAAAGACATGGAAGTTGTTCCCAGTACTTGTCGTGAGGACAACCACTGAGAGAATACATCGATATGTTAACTTGGAGTAAAGTCAATTCTTCCAAGCAATGAAACCAGCATGATGTGCTGTGACATGAGGGGACCAGATGGACACTGATCACATACTGTAGATCAGTCTGTTCAGGCCCTTCTCTAACAATCATCTTGTTCGTGTTCTTCTTACACACTCACTCTCCTCCTATTTCTTATTCTTCCACTCTTGTATACAATTCTTCCCCTTCGACTCTGGCTGTACAAAATATGGGAAAGACAGTGAGCAGTGTCAGTTTGTGGCGAAAACCAGAAAGAAATATTGGTACATGGTTATAGACAGAAAGTGGGTGAACAAGAGGGAGGACAGCTCCCCCTGAAAATTAGTTAATCAATATCTCCATCCACTCAGACACCAGAGGACAAAATATACAGAACATTGACTTCCCCATCACAAAAAAAGTTAAAAATATACACTGTATATACTATATTATTATCATATCAATAATATGCAACACAGGGCTGTTTATGTGTCTTTATGCAACTATATGAATGCGAAGCAGCATATAGCTTGTATGTTAGTCAACTCTTGGATCAACATTAAAATTCAGTTTTGAACACCCATTATATGATCTATGACCTCTTTCAACCTGCAACTGTGACTAGGAATTCTAACAATCTTGTGCCTCAGCCAATCTGCATTCCCTGAATTAGAGTAGTCTATAACGGACACAATTAGGTCAATTTCTTGCAACAGAGATAAGAAATCACATTAGAGTTATCACTACTGCAGCAGATAACGTTGTTACCATGATATATACAGTTATGCTAATGAGATTGATAATTAAAAAGAGATACTAGATCTTATTACTGCAGATGTTGTGACAATCAGCTCTGACTAGCAGCCGCTGTGAATGTTGTGTTGTACTACAGCACTCTGCTAACAGCGTGATAATGTTTATGATGGAGCAAAACTTTGTCTGACAAATGTACAAAGATCATAGAAAGATGTGCTGCCAGGCTCTTCCAAAGTCGACGCTTACATCTAAAGGTGACCATGCTTTTGCTGTCAAGGCTGAGGGGCTTTGGAACAACCTGCCTGAGGAGATAAGGCTCTCAGAATCAGAGACTTCTTTTACATCAATTCTTCAAAACCTTTTTTATAGACTTGCTTTTATGTGATGTTGTCTTTTTAGTATTATGGATTTTATTCTCTCTTATTTTTGTATTCATTTATATTTAATTACAATGTTTTCTAATTGCTATGTCTTGCTTTCGTTTGGCCTTAGTGTCCCTTCGGTTCCTTCTGACTATCCTATTTTTGCTTCGTCTGTCAAAGCACTTTCTAAACTCCTTTTTTTTTAAAAGGTGCTACATAAATAAAGTTGCATTAGTTGTATTAATATAATTATCATGCTAGTAAGGCATTAGCACAACATTTATTATGTAGACAATTGTGAGGTTGATTTCGCAATCATCATCATCATCATCACTTCCCTTCACATAAAACAAAACAACTACACTAAATCTCCTATTAACCTGTAAAACAATGCAGCAAGGTGTTCCAAGATCTCATCAGATCATCTTGATCTCCCTTCACTGCTGCTCGCTGTATTCGCTTCAGTTCAATGCACGTATACATTCACAACGTATTTCGGTGGTAAAAGTCAGTGGCACTGCCCTTTAAATCCTTCCTCATTTCATATCAGCTACAGCGTGTGCTGCTGGAATTCCCGAGCCTCCCACCATCCCTTCTTATCTACGACTCCATTCAAAAGGAGAGCGTCTGGCTTCATGCAGGAGCTGCAGTGTTATTATCATTATAGACGGGAACCTCTAAATCACTCTAAAAATACACTGCAGTCGGGCAGGCAGGGCTGATAGCAAGATGCCCTGGCCGCCTGCCGGATCTTGACAGATTGGCCCGACTGTTGGTGGAGCAGAGCCCCTCTGCTGCACCGCACAACCCCCATCCTCCTCCCTTCTGTCACTTTCATCACCCATAGGTACGCTTTAGGCAGTCACAGCAATGTGACACCACTGAGGCAAAGATAGAGGCCTGTCAAAGTTCTTGAGTCAGAGAATTTTCTTTTGATGTCAAGGTTTTGTGTAACAGCTCCTGGATGTTGTGTGTTCACAATGATGATACACTACAGTAAATAATCACAATCACGGCTATGAATCCATTAGAAATGTGACACTGTCATTGTGTAATTGAGCCATGTTTCCCATTCTAAAATAGGTGTAGACCTTATCCCTTCTATTAACTCTATTCATACATTCTTGCCAGCAGGCAGGTATCAGCGAGCTGCAACACACAAATCCAAAAGTCACAACACAACGGATGTGAGTGCCTATGGAAGTTGACAACAAAATGGGGCTGACTATCAATATTAATAATTTTTATTAGTAGTAGCAGACTTATTGCCTACTGGTGTGTGGAAGAGGAAAGTTCTCGCCTATTTTTTCTACATCATGTCAATTTTTAGGTATCTGTAAGAAAGCCAAATCAGGTGACAATACCAAACATTTGATATGTCAGTTGGGCTTTAAATAAAAAAAAACGTTGCTTTCAAACGATTAACTAGCATTAGTATGTCATGATAAGTAATCATGGAAACAACTCCTAACATATCCACTGAAACTTGGTTCTGATTTATTACATTTATCCAAATTTGTAACTTCAGCTGAAACTTCAAAGCAAAAGAGGATTTAAATTGGCAGTTTACTTATGTTTCTCTGACTTTTAAGCGGGGTATGTTTTCCCAACCTTGAGAAGTTCAGCTCACTTTCATGTTTGGATCTAACCTTGTGATCACACCTGAGCAGTCTCCCCCCTCCATCTCCTTTCTGCTCCATCACACCCTCCATCTTTTCATCGGCCCCTCCTTCTTCTTCTACCTAACCATCTGTTTGTTCCAATTCATCACCATCTCGCTGTGTTTTTCTAATCTTTCTGTGATCCCTCCGTTCAAACCCCGATGAACAAATACTCCTTTTGCCCTGCAGTGGGTGCCTTTCTGTCGCCAATTAAATTCCCTTTCGCTGAGCATTTTCCGCCTGCTAAATCTCCTTCTTTCCCCCTGTTAATCTGGCTCGACCCTGCCTTTACCTGTCGCCGGTCCTCATATCCGAGCTTTTATTGTTTCACTGTCATTCTTGTCAACACGACACTGTCCGTTGCAGTCGGTCTGCACCATCCTCCCTGCATCTGAGTGCTGTGCAGCCTTTCATACAACGCCAGCTGCATCAAATGAAGCTGAATTGGCACTTCCAAAAGGTGGATTTAGGGTTGCCAAGCACTGCTTATCTGAGACAAATTGGCCAGGATGAGGTTTATTTATTTGGGGAATTATCGCGGCAGCCTCGTGCAGACACACAGACCCTCTCAACTTAAACACTCTTACTCAATCTAACTCTCTTCCTCTCTAAACATAAGATACATGTACGCCCCTTTTCCTAATTCACATTTAATTCACAGAACACACCCTGCCTCAACTGAACTCTCTCACACTCCAACCTTCCTCTCTCCATCTATTAATCTCTCTCTCTCTCTCTCTCTCTCTCTCTCTCTCTCTCTCCCCCCCCCCTCTCTCTCTCTCTCTCTCTCTCTCTCTCTCTCTCTCTCTCTCTCTCTCTCAAACAATCTCTCTCACTGTGCCAGTTTCATTAGACGACAGGTTTCAGAGCTCTCTGGCATGAATTCACACGAGGCAGGAAAACGTGATGTCATTATTCAGTCTCCGTTCTCTCCGTCTTGTAAACTGTCAGCTCGGGGAGAGTGGGAGATGATGGAGAGCTCAGGTGTCTGTCGGACGGCGGGGTAGAGGGGTCAGAGAAGATGGCTGTGTATGTATGTTTAGTCTATGCACATCACATGATTTTGTTTTTGGGGAATGGTGTGTGGATGTACATGGGTAGTGTCTGTCTGTGTGTGTGTGTGTGTTTCTCTAGGGTCAGATTCAGAAGCTAGCAAGGAGGTGAATCTTCTACTTGACAAAAACACGGAGTTGGACTGAGCTCCAGAGTTGTTGCATTTTTTTAGGACTCCCTCTCTCGCTTTCACTTCACATCTTGCAAGCAGCCTCTCTGATTTTGCCTTCGCCCTCCTCCTTCATCCTATTCAGTCTCTAGTCTTTACTGTTGAGCTCATTCTAATGCCCTGTGCCTATCCACATTTGCTCCTCTTTCTTCTGCCTACATTGTCTCATTGTAACACAATTTTAATTGTAAAGACAAGCAGAATAAGTAAGAAAAGATGCACTTATTTGGAATTATGGTGAAATGGCCCTTTAAACTTTATAGCTGGGACTGGTAACAGTGATGTAAAACATACTGTATACTGGATGCAAGGTATTCTGCATCTCTCGTTCAGCTGTCATGCTTCTCCACCAACGGGTAAAGTTCATTGTTTAAACATGGCAGTTTCCGATGCTTCATGGACTTCGTGGAAAAAGTCGCTGAAAGCAGCGTTCCAAGAACTTCACTTAACTATGACAAAATTCAGCCGGTCCACAAAAGCCTATTTTATCTACATTACATAAATGTTTAGGTATCTGTAAGAAAGCCAAATCAGGTGACGATAACAAACATTTGATTTGTCACTTGGGCTTTAAATAAAAAAAAACTTAAAAGATTAACTAGCATTAGTACGTCATGATAAGTAATCATGGAAATATTTCCTAAAAAGTATATCTAA